GGGCTGTGCTTGAGATCACGGTGAAAAGAGAAAAAATCGGTTGGGTTGTATTGTTGTATTTATTTGCAGTCGTTCTGGGGTTTTTTACTACCTACCACTCACTCACTGCTGTATGTTGTACTCCATCCGCATGTATGTAATCTTGAAATAATTAGACTAATAATGTACACGATTTAGATGCGACTAAATAAAACTTTCTTCATCTCAACAATTAATTCTGCGGACACTTTCTTACGTACGTAGTGTACAATGTGTATGTGTGTGTATTCTATGTTTTTCATGGTGTCGCAATTTACCCCACCACCCATTTGCATTTACCCGCCCAATGGGGTAGTAAAAGTAATGGGGTAAATATGGCTTGTAGCCTGATAAGGGTGCAGTAAATAAGTATGGCCATATAGATAGTTTGTACCCCGACCGGGAGGTGGGGGAGACTTATACTAACGATTTTATTGTTGGTTTCGTCTCGTCCATTCTGTCTGGTGGCAGCCTACACCTACTACCTACCGTTCGGTACATAGCACATTGAAACGATTCAGGCCGGGGTCGCCAGGCCCGGCCTTGAAGCCGGAGTTGCAGACCCAAACTTCGCAGCCAGACCCAAGAGCTACAGTAGTATTCCGGAAAAGATGCAGAAACCTTCGGGGTACTGGTGTGTCCAACTCGGTCTGGTGGTTTATATGCGTAGTCTACTTCTTTATGAATCAAAAAGTCCATCGAAGAACAGAGTCTACTGCTGTGACGAGATGTGACGATCTCTGACACGGGTCCAGTGTGGAGCTAGTCCGACCACTGTGTGCAGGTTGGAGCCGCTTCTCTTCTTCAGTATGTTTCCTCCCTTGTCCTTCCTTTCTCAGTCGCTCGTTATCGCTCACTCCCAGGCAAGACACTGAGCAAGGTGGAACGCCTGCACTCGCTTGCTACTACTGCTAGTAACCATTGTACTGCTCCTGCCTAAAGTCGGAATACAAGGAACCCGGGCAGGTGGTCGGGATATTCCTGAAAGATATACCCGCCCAGATGGTATCTTAGTCCAAGTGCCCGAATACCATAACACTAGCCCACCATGAGGGGACATATATGCAGAGGCTAGAACCTGAAGAGGGGGAAATAACAATCCATCTGAGGCAACCACTCTAGACTCGAGGATACGGAGCCTCACAAACCTAAACCTCTCTCCAAATATCATAACACTACTACATAGAAACTGTAGATTGTATGTAGCAAAGATTAGCGTCAGCGAAGGCAGTGTATACAAAACCTGTGTTTCCAAGATTTCCCAAGCAGTACACAGCGGTATCTCCCCTGTGGGTAATAGGCTCAACAAGACAAGACAGTTTCGTAGCCATCCTGGGCATCCATCTGTCTGTCTGTCTGTATGTTATGCTGGGAAGGTGCCAAAGGAAGGTGCTTTGTAGTTTTTCCATTTGTCAGGCAGGCGTAGACATCATACAGGTTGCCTGCGCCGCACAACAACGAATGGCCCATGGGAGGGTCTCGCTGGGATACAGCAGGAAAATAGCCGATCGAAGCCACCACACTCCTCGCTGTCGATAGATAGCTATACCGCTGACAAGTCGGCGATAAAAGCCACTGCGTTGAGGGAACGGTTTCCGCATACAAACTAAATACTACTGGAAACTCGCGATTGATGTCAATTCCTCCCACTCCCCTGCCTGCATGCAAACAAACGTTTTCGGACGATACACACGGACGGCCATTGTCAACCAATCCAGGCATTGCCACCGCCCAGACCTGCGACAACGGTCTCGCGGGTGTCTCCACCGGCGATTACTGCTGTACTCTGGGGTGTGGCACGTGCGGCGGTTCGGGCTGCTCTTCGAGAGCTGAGGGCTTGACTGGCGACGGTAGGTTTCCTCTACTATTGCGTCCATCGTTGGGGTCTTGTTTTCAGTTCGGCCCTCGGCACCCATCTCATACCACTGTCTGAACGAGGGCCTATTGCAGCACCCACGTAAATAAAGTCGCCAAGAGTGAACACAGGTAAGTCTTCAGCCTCTCGCTCGTAACCATCCCACGCCAAAAACAAATCGGGTTTTGGTTTTCATCGCTTGCAACGACGTCGTAAAACAAGCCTCCCCCCCCGGTGTTTGCCATCGGGGTTAGGTTTTCGTTGCTTGACAACGATGTTGTATAACGATCACTTCCGCTCGGCCACCAGTTTGCCGCTTCTTTTTTTTTGCCTCTGGTGGGGTTTTTTGCGGTGACCATGAATGGTGGTCGAGTAGATTATGTTGTGCAGGGCGAGAACCCTCACTCCGATCAAAGGGGATAATCGCACCATGTTGTGTTAAATTGGCCAAGCACCCTCGAGGCAGTTACACAGTGCTTATAACTGTCTCTGGAAGTGAAAGCACCAGAAAGTACATTTAAGTCATACGCAGCTGTCATCCGTACGCAAGGGAGTAAGCACAAGATGCCGAACACCCTTAGCAGGATGCAGCGCACCCTTCATGCGACTCGCCGAATACCTCACGGCGCTTTGCGCTTGGTGACGTGAGAGTCTGGTCCGGTGAGAACCCGGCTTGCTCCGTCCCGGCTTTGTAGGGATGCGAGGTCAATGGTATAACGACTACGGCATGCACGACTATGAGTACCCCCCCCCCTCACGGTGCTTCGCGCTTGGTGATGTGAGAGCCTGGTCCGGTGAGAACCCGGCGTGCTCCGTCCCGGCTTTGTAGGGATGCGAGGTCAATGGTCTAACGACTACGGCATGCACGACTATGGGTACACCCCCCCCCCCCTCTCCTGTCTTCCTCTCGTAACGCCTCAGATTGCTGTACTTCAGACATCGCATCAAACGGCATCCTGTGCGCGGACTCAGGCGCTGCGCCTTGCATCGGTGAGAAGTGAGAAGGTGTTTGCGAGGGGCAGCCGATATGGTTTGTGGACGATTTATTCGAATCCATCCACAACAAATTAACGCTCGACACGCCCCAGCATGTACGTTCGCCGAACGGGACGAAACCTGGTCCATCGCATAGTCCGCATGACAAGAGGTCAAATGCTAAATGCTTCATGTGTAAACGACAGAGAAGAGAAACTTTGTTCTGAGGGCTCGTCGCCCAAAATCTCCAAGCAAGCCTTCTAATATGTGAGGAAACGTCTCCAATAAACCCATTCTCATCGGGCTAGCTGCATATTTCACCCGTTCGGCTAATTGCCGTGCTCTTCCATAGACAATTAACCGCCTATTTCCTGGGAGGCACGCCGACTCTTCCCCTTGCGTGTCAGCGCTACTGTACTTTCAGCGGCATACCTACCCTCTTCAGCAAAATGCCTTGGTTTGATGCGTGTATTGCCTGCCGTGGGTTGCGCGGGGTTCCGCTCGTCTTCTTAAAGCTCCAACAAGACGGTTCCAAAGATGACGCCATCGTTATCTTGCAACCCGCGAAATCCTTTCAGGCGACGTCGGCGATGACGTGCCCGACGAGACTGGGGGTTTCCTCGGGTGCTTCTCCGACCCGGCCGACAACCGCGTGTTCGTGCAGGATATCTCCTCTGCTTCAATGACCGCGGAGGTGGGCACCCGACCGGGGCGTTTTCGAAGGCCGCTGTTTGGTTAAAGCGATTGTCTTTGAATCTCATCTCGTTATGTGTTGCTTAGGCTGGGTGAGCTGGTGACAACGACAAATATCTCCTTGCTTCTGTTGAATAGGGAAGAGGAGGAATGATACACTGGTCAGACCAGGTAGCTCATTTGAACATGTGAACACAACAAGAACGACAGCGACAGCAATACGTAGAGCAACGCCGACCACCCGTTTGTCTGTTGTCGGGATGCGTTCGACTTGACGCTGCCTCGTATAATGGTATCTCTAGCCGTGTCGACATTGCGCAGGTGACGGCGAAGATTTTGAAACCGTGAACTCATAACGCCGCCACCGATTCAACACGCGATAATCACGTGTTCCTATGTGTCTGCCACTGCCCCTTTCCCTGGAACTATCGTCCGCGTTCGACGCACGCCCTTGACCAAACGACAATAGGTCTGCTCGGAGGCCTGCGCCGGCTCGGCGTATTACGGAACGCAGTACTCCACGGAGGTAAGACCACAAGGCGATCTGAGGCCGTGTCGTGCGAAGCGATGTTCCGGTGGGGTGGGTCTTCGCCCTATGAATCGGACATCCATACCTTGGTTCAGCAGAAGGGTTTGACAAATCGCCGTGTGACTGCTCTTGTTCACCGATAGGCATTTTTTTCGTATGTTCCCTTCAGCTGTCGTGCCTTGCCTTCGGTGGTTGATCTATCGTTCCCTCCTCTGAACCGTCTCAGAATTTCGCTACAACTCCGTCGGACAACCATGAAAAGTTCCGTATTTGACTAGTTCTCAACCCTCAGGTCGCTTGCACACGACCGAGCACACCACCCGCGACTTGTTGGTACAGTCGTCGACACATTCGCACAGCACCGGCAGACAAGAGCCATCCGCCGTCCATGTTCCCCGCTCATAACCTCCTCTATGCGAGACGAGAGAATCGTCCCACAAAGACGCTGGGTAGATCATTTATGACCATTTTTAAGTCCACTTCCACACCGTTTCACTGATTGTTCTGTGGTGCCGCTATCTACTCAGCGGTCTCACCTACGACCCACACCACACTTCATCGACAAACAGCACACCTCCCACGTGTCGACGGAACCCCCCTCTGTTGTCCACACACCACCGACTCTCCCTGATGTTGTGCCGCTCCTTTGCGGGAACGCCACCCACTGCTGCTTGCGCCTTCTAACAACAGTGCTGGTGCGGCGACAACGCTGACTACGACGCCAACGGCGTGGGCGTCTGTGACATGCCCTGTGGTGGCGACGCCGACGAGATCTGCGGAGGTTTCTACGCCATGTCGATCTACGAGAACGACGGAGACGGCGGGGACAACGACGGGGACGGCGGGGACGACGAGGACCCCTCCTTCCTGGGGTGCTACTCCGACCCGGCCGACAACCGCGTGTTCGTGCAGGAAATCTCCTCTGCTGGAATGACCGCGGAGGTGGGCACTCGACCGGGGCGTTTTCGAAGGCCTCTGTTTGGGTAAAATACCGCGTTTGGATCTCATCTCGTCGTGTATGTTTACAACTGCAATAGCAATATGTACAGCAACACAAACCCGTTGCCTGTTGTCGAGATACGCTCGACTTGACGCTGCCTCGTATATCGTTGATATGTACATCTAGCCGTGTCGACAATGCACAGGTGACGGCGAAGATTTTGAAATCACGCCTCCACCGATTCAACACGCGATAAAAAACGTGTTATTCCACGTCTACGTGCCTGCCACTGCCCCTTTCCCTCGAACTGTCGTCCGCGTTGGGCGCACGCCCTTGACCAAACGACTATAGGTCTGCTCCGAGGCCTGCGCTGGCTCGGCGTACTACGGAACGCAGTACTCGACGGAGGTGAGACCCCCACAACGCGATGTCAAATACGAGTCGTGTGAAGCGGTTGGTGTTTCGAACCTGTGGTTCTTCGCGGTAGGCGCGCATGAATTGGACTTAATTTCGGCCTTGGTTTAGCAGAAAGGTCTGAAAAATCGCCACATGACCCATCCTCACCACTGGGGCATTCATTCGTTTGCTCTCTTCCGCTGCCGTGCCTAGTTTGTACCCATCGCCAAGAGTGAAAACAGTCGTCGTGACCTGGCTGTGACCTGTTTCCAAACTTCGAAGTCCCTGGGGGCGCCTTCGGTGGTTGATCTATCGATGACTACTCTAGGCCACAGGTCTCAGGGTTTCGTTCCTATCGGTCGGACAACCAGAAAAGGACCTTGTTAGTGCTCAAGCCTTAGGTTGCATGCACACGACCGAGCACACCTACGTCGTCCACCCGCGACGTGGGGATACAGTCGTCGACACGTTCGCACAGCACCGGCAGACAAGAGCCATCCGCCGTCCATGTTCCCCGTTCATAACCTCCTCTATGCGAGAAGAGAGAATCGTCCCACAAAGACGCTGGGTAGAGATGACCCATTTTAGGCCCATCTCCACACCTTCATGGTATGTTTTCACTTTATGGTCTGGTGCCGCTATCTACTCAGCGGTCTCACCTACGACCCACACCACACTTCATCGACAAACAGCACACTGTGCACACCTCTCACGTGTCGACGGAACCCCCCTCTGTTGTCCACACACCACCGACTCTCCCTGATGTTGTGCCGCTCCTTTGCTGGAACGCCACCCACTGCTGCTGCGCACTCTAACAACAGTGCTGGTGCGGCGACAACGCTGACTACGATGCCAACGGCGTGGGCGTCTGTGACATGCCCTGCGGTGGCGACGCCGACGAGATCTGCGGAGGTTTCTACGCCATGTCGATCTACGAGAACGACGGAGACGGCGGGGACAACGACGGGGACGGCGGGGACGACGAGGACCCCTCTTTCCTGGGGTGCTTCTCCGACCCGTCCGACAACCGCGTGTTCGTGCAGGAAATCTCCTCTGCTGGAATGACCGCGGAGGTGAGCAGCCGACCGGGGCGTTTTCGAAGGTTGTTTCGTAAAGCGATGCCTCTCATGCGCAACTCGGTTCCGTGTTTCTCACACGGCTATTATTTTGTTTGTTGCACTCGATTAGGTTAGTTGAGCTGGTGAACCCGGGAGGAGGCCTCCTTGCCCTTTGTATACTGTGGAAGAGGACGCACGACACCATGATCTTGTCCATGTAAACAGCAACAACACTACTACTCATTTGTCCGTTCTCGGGATGCACTGGACTTCCTTATCGTTGCCTCCACAAAATGTTGTTTCCTTGCGGTGTGTCGACATCTTGTAGAGAATCCAAAGATCACGGAACCAACACGCCGCTTACTTCACCTCACAATGCACCCGTCGCGGTGCCCTTCCCCTTTCCGGAACACCAACCTCATTGGGCACACGCCCCGGAACGGACGATGACAGATCTGCTCAGCGGCCTGCGCCGGCTCGGCGTACTACGGAACGCAGTACTCGATTGAGGTAAGACCTCGTGCAGCTTATGTCGTGAAGCCCTGGAGGATGTTTATTGACATGTGGTGGCTGGTGGTCATGTCATGTGGTACAGTTTCGTTCCTCTAGGCGCGATTTGAAACGGCCGTAATTTTTGCTGTGGTTCGGAACGGCTTGAGTCGCAGTATGATGCACGAGATCAACAACAGGATAAAGAGGAAACGTTCGTCGTGGTCGAGCTGTGCCAACACGGCGAGGTTTCCTGGGGGGGCAACTCGCTGTTGAAAAATGTTGTGAATGATCTTGTCACGTAGCCGGGAGGGCTTGACAACCAAACGGCACATACTTTTTTTAGCACCGTTTGCCCATAAACTGACATTCCGTCATGCCGAGCAGAGTTTTTCTGTCCTTGGGGCAACAACTCTCAGTTCCTGTGCTTGTCCGTGCGACAGCGATGAAACAAGCTGCTTGTGATAAGAACGCCTCGGGCAATGGGTTGCATACATACACCACCGAGCACACAGACTCCGCCTACCCATGGCTTGGTGATGCCGCATTCGTGGCAAAACATTCGAACCACACCTACCTGCACATCTACAGTAGTTTTAGTCTTCTTTTTGGCTGTAAGTATCCTCCTCTATTCGAGCAGAGGGAATCAAAAGTAGTTGAGATTGGGAGATGTGACCCTTCTTACCGGTCATATGTTGCCGCTAGTTCCGCCGCGCCCACCCCCACTGATCTCACTCGATCGACAAGACGCAACCCATGCGCATCATCAGCGTCACGACGAACCCCCGCCACTCTGTTCATTCCAACCATTCCCCTGCTGTATTCTAAACCACATGGGACAACAGTGCTGGTGCGGCGACAACGCTGACTACGATGCCAACGGCGTGGGCGTCTGCGACATGCCCTGTGGCGGCGACGCCGAAGAGATCTGCGGAGGATCCTACGCCATGTCGATCTACGAGAACAGCGCGGACGACGGGGAGCCCGAGGAGTTCTCGTGCTCCGGCGACGCCGGAGTGTCGTCCGGTTCTTCCTGCTGCGAAGCCGACTGCGGCACTTGCGGAGGATCGGGTTGCAGCTCCCGCGGCTCCGGCGCCGCTTCGTGCTGCACCTCGGTCATCCAGTCCGCCGGCACCCTTTGCTCCGACTCCGGGGCCGCCCCGTGCATCCTCTAAGTTTCTACCCTCGCTGTTAGGTGAGCCCCGCCCCCGTCCCCGCGTGGGTTCGAAGCGCGTCTTTTGATTGGTTGTTCGACGAAGCCCGTTACAATAAAAAAAAAAAGACAGATGGGTCCACACCCGTATGCATCAGGCGTTCAGGCCTCGGGCGTTAATGCCGCGTGTGTGTGTGTGTTTTCGAAGATATTCGGACTTTTTCCCGCCCCCCAGGGTGCGAAGGTTTAGGTATTGCATGTTTCCTCTCTTGGCAACCTCCGCCTAAAACACCACAGAGGTTCATGTTGACAACCTATCGACCACTGATTGGCGTCGTCTTTTTTTTTCCCTGGTTCGCGACTTGACTCAGAAAAAATATATATGTATATATATAGTGTCTTCTGTAGTTTCTTGCCCAAGACTCTCGAAAGTATTAATGGTGTAGATCGACGAACTGCTGTTGTCGCTGTGGCCCATCCTTGGTTGTAACTACTTTCCTTCCTCTCTGGCCACGGACGTTTTTGCCGCTGCCTTGCCTGGACCGTTGGTTTGTGTCGACAGATGTTACGCCGCGTTACTACGCGCATCTGGCCCGTCAAGTCTTGCCGACCAACCGGGCGACGGTATCGCTTCTTCTCCGCCAATCCTGGAGAAACTCGGCGCAATTGGTATCGATCGTTTCAAGACCTCTGAAGACGGGGTAGATTGGGCTTATTCAACTAATACTGTATTGTAGAGGTTTCCAAGACTTACCCACAAACAACAAGTGGGCTATAGCAGGGACTCGGGACTTGTATTGAGTGCTCTTCATTGATTTCGAGACTGCGAATATGCGTCTGGGTGATCGAACGTTTGCGGGGTGGGGGAATAGACTAGAGAGAGAGCCCGGCACGTAAGAGTAGGAGGGGAGATCGCTATGCAGGGAGACAGCTCGACGCCGTCACGATACGTGAACGCGTGTGTGTTTGTGTATGTTAGATGTGTCTTTGTATCTAGGCGGTACATATCATCGTGGGCTCAGCAAATCCGGTCTGGACCGCCCGCTCGGTTCTGCCGAAGGCGGTGAACGCGGGAGACCAATACCACACCATGATAGTAAACAATTGGTGTGCATATTGGATGCCGGTGTCGATATTGTGCAGCGGTTTAGCGGGGGGCTCAGCTCCGCAAAACATCCGGTCTAAATATGTCGTTTGTGTTTGCTTAGACTACCCAATCGACAATGTTGCTCTCAACAGACTCCGACGGTAGGCCTGTTTCGTTTCATGTTTCTCCTGCATCTCGTGTCCATCCACCTGGATGCAGACGCCTTGAAACGCTGGCTCGGTTGTTTCCAGCCGGAGGGGTTTGTCTGAAAAAAGATCATTGGTGTATGTTCTTTGTGCGGTCTGAGTTATTTGTAGGGGTCGCAGGGTAGCGACGATAGACGCGACTAAAACTACCGTAGTGATACTGGATGGAGGCACGCCATGCGAATAGCTTCTGCCGGATCAGACAGTTGTCGGTTAAAAGTAGAACTTGTGACGTGGAGTCAAGTGCGGTAGTATGTGAGGTATCGTCACCGACCATGGATACGACTGTAGTGCAGCCACCCGCATTTGCGAAGCTTCCAACAATACGGGTATGTAGTTGGGAGTTGACTCGGGGAGGGGCATATATATATCCAAGCCGCCTGTCGACGTTCTTAATTACGATGTGGCATTCATTGTGATATGGTACTATTCGCACATCAATGAGTGTAACATATTCCCATTCGTCTTGACAAAGAAAATAGAGAGCACGCCGGCAAAACACGCACTGTCTGCGATGGACTCGAGGGCAGACAGTGTGTGCCGAGGGCCAAAGGCCGCACACCCCCAATAACCCACGCGCACCGCCGGCGTGGTACATTGCAGAGAGAGTACACACCAACCAACGTGTTTCCAAGCGATCTTCGTTGGTTGAATATTCTCGCTTTTTCGGCGATCGCAACCCGCGCCAGGAAGTCTTCCGACGAGAGAGGGTGCACCCCTCTTGCCCCAATAACAAAATGTGTGTTTCTTTGTTCAAGGCGGGAGCACAAATAGCTTCTTTAGGTGAAGTCAAGACGAATCCAGCAACAGGATACGTCTTTATTGTTGTTGTTCTTGACGCCGTTGTCAATCACTTGGATGAGGCCTCCTGCCCCGCGGCTGGTGGCCCTACGTAAACCTCCGTTGTTTTCAAGCATATACCTTTTCTTTGGTATCCTGCCGGGGAACGGGTATCGCCTCACAGATCCTCGCAACTCCCAAAATTGCACCGTAAGACCAAAATTTCTCAGGAATTGTTTTCACCTGCAATTTTGGGGACAATTCGTAAGAGCATTCCGAACACAACTTCTTCTTCACGGCTCGCCTACCCGCTGTACGTGCAGAAACGATGGCGACGAAGGAGCGTCAACCCGCTTTATTCCCCTTACTACACATACTTGCCGCTATCGTACCCTGCGTTTGGAACGTCCCTCCGGGCTGCTGGTAGTCGGCCGGACGCCACCCAGCCACCCATTTTCCGCACGACAAGTCTCGTGATCTTGTCTTCGGCGTTCCCCGACTCTGTGATCTGGTATGGGATATCCTCTGACACGAAAGGATTATTGTACATACATCGTAAATTTATCAGGGCAGGTTCGCGCAGATAGATAGATGCCCTTGCAGGGAGGCCGTCATGCGGGCGGCAGTGAGTGGCAAAAACGCCCCTCTGATGCCATCGGGGTTGACCTCCGGCAAAGGTGTCCTGCCGGTACAGAACGGGTCCGCATCAGGAACCCGGAGGGCAGCCGGTTTTCGGCGTGGACTTTACGCTGGGGCACGACGCGTGACGGTAAGGCCATTTACCTTGCGAGTCGAGGTTGCATCGCCAGTTGAGGATACCAGAGTCGGTGACGTTTTTTTGGAAGCCCTGCCGAGACGGATGGAACAAACAACACGTCGATCTCATGGGCGATTCGAGACTTGCGTTGCTGTCCAGGGTAGCGTGCCCTATGTGCCAGGACGTACCCATGCTGGTCTCATCGTGGGGGGGGAAGTAGTAGCGGGCGGAGCAAATGGGCGGGCCGTTCCCGTTCGGGCGCGAAGTACAATAGTACCTCATGACGAATAAAAGTTGCAGTGCCCAGGGTGCACCAAAACTGGGTTAAGTACCGCCCAGAGGCAGCCGACTGCACGAAACGAGCAGTCGCTATGGCGTAAGGGTTACGCAACGGGTACGGGAACCATACAGGACGAGAGAAAGGAGACACCAGCTAATACCGCGAGTCGGTATTCCAAGGTTTGTATCACGCAACACCTCATACGCCAGCATCGCCCAGCGATGTACCATCGCGCTCTCAACGGCCCGTCGGAACGAGGCCACTGAAAACACTCCAGGTACTGTGCCTCCGGGGCCACCTGCCGAGAGTTCACCGCGGCATGCCATTCAACCGGACACTCTATACTCGAAAACATGAAAATATCTAGGTGCTGAAAAACGTGGCCTATAAAAACTTGTAGCGTGAAGCCGAAAACAGAGGTCTCCTCTACCGGAGTGTCAGGCGCTACGGCAACGTTGTGCGCCAACATCTCCATGCCGCGGAACCCGGACAGTCAAAGTGCGATAAATCGGCGAGTGGGTGCCGGAGGTGGCGATCGCTAGGCCGGCGCGCTACACGCCATCAGGTCTACGTTTAACGGACCCGGGGCCGCCCGCAGAGAGTGGAAACCGTCTCGCACCAAGCGGACGATGGAATCTCGGGAGGACCGCGAAACTGCATCCATCGGCCATGACGAGGGGTGGATTGGGATTCGACGAGACGTTCTCGGGTCGTCGAGGGAGGTCGCAATGCACCCTTCCGCCGCAACATTAGCCACCCGGGCGACGGTGTCTATGGTAATAAACGACGGGGAGATGGAATCGCCTGTTGGTTGGTCGGCCATCGTTACCCATGGCGCGGTTTGGTTTCCCCCACCGACAACGACAATAATATATCAACAGGCGCGGGCGTGCTGAGCTATCACCGCTCTGCACGTGGTCCCATTTGAGGACTCACCTATGATCAAAGCGGGATTGCAATTATATGGAAACGAAGCTCTCGATCTTAGGGGGAACACGGTTCGCGGACGTTGCACCCGGGATGCGATCAGGGTTCCTCGGCAGGCCATCCGACGGCCCCCGGTACGGTGCACGAAGGAACTCCGGAAGACCCACCACCCCTTTCCGCAAATAGGACACCTTTTTCGTGAGGATGCTGCTTCAGGATAATAACCTGTCCCCAGAAACGAGCGTGACGCCGTACGAAACCTAGTACAAAGAAAGGCTCCACCATCCACGCCCACGTTCCACGCGGGGACTTGCCTCGGAACCCTCCCGTGATGGCTCGCGCATGGGGTCTTGGGTGACTATCGGCCCGCGTCGGCGCGGCCGCACGGGTCGGGCATGGCATCATCAGCGCTCCGCTCCTGCTCTGCGGGGGATAGCAAAGACGGTGTTGGAGGCAACAAGGTTTCTGCTTGTCCGTGCCGGTGGTCTAGGTCACAGAAGAACCAACTCTCTAGCATCCACCTAATAATAGCAAACATCCGCGATCGTGAGTTACGCATCCAACCTCGTTTTCGTAGCCGAGAAGCTGGAGTTCTACCGGCTCACCAGCGTGGGAAGAATGGCGTCCTGTCCGTTCTTTCGACAGTGGCTTTGTCGTTGGAAGGGAGAAGTGACAAACGGGGGTAGAGTAGAGATTTCAAGAAGCTTGAAGAAAGGGCTCTCCTGCTGATACAGCAGTATGTATGTAGTGGTGCGCGCCTGCTGGTTCCATCCGGTTGGTGGCTCCCAATATTTACACCGGCACGGTTATCCCTGTGCGATTAGCCAACAAGAAATCGACTGTGACCTCAACCTGACGAGATTATTCGCACGCGTCGTTGTTAGTCCCGCGAATACCCATTCTTCAACCAGCACTCGACGGAAAGCGATTGTACATACGTAGATGCCGACAAGATCGTGCAGCGAATGTGAAAGGAACCGAGAGTTCGTAAAAAACAAGAAGAATATTGTTCCTCCTGGGAGGGGATCAGTCGGAGCAGACGCTTGCTTCCTCATTCAGATATGACGCGGAAATGCCTCGTTCAGACAGTACCTTCCGCCGCGAGGTCCCATTATCCTTCACAGCAGTGTCATTCGACTAAAAAGAACACATGTATGTTTGGATCAAGCATGCAATCGGAGAAGGTCAGGGTTAGGGTTAGGAATAGGGTCTGCGTACCCCCTCCCAGTTCTATTTCCTCATGAACCTAATTTCTCGCGAAGGCGGTCCACTTCTTCTGTAAGCCCGGACGCCGTCGTCGAATCTTGCACGCGCACACCTTCTGTTGGTGACATGTATATATATGATGGCGACCTGATGGTGCGAGGGACACAACCGCCGCCGACGCTCAGACGGCCGACTGTGGGTGGTTTCACCAGCTCAACACAAAAAATGGTGCTTTTCACCGCTGCTGCGAAGACTTCACCACATTCCTTCAATTGACTTCGCAGCATCCCTTCAATTGGGGGGGTTTCTGTCGATCTTTACTGTGCCCTTCAGACTTCACCACATCCCTTAATTTGGGGCATTCTGTCGATCTTTACTGTGTCCTGCTTTGAAGACTTCATACATCCCTTCAGTCGGGGTATCATCTCAAACTCTACTGTCACTGTATGTATATTTTCTATCTGAATTACGGTGCACACAAAGCCTCGTCGCCTCAAGACAGGAACGTTGTACAGCACAGGCAACGTACCAAACCTTCCGCAGCAGACAACATGTCGTACTTCGCGACGAGCAAGAAAATCAGGACCCGGTCAAGGCCAAAACCCCACAGCCACACGAGATAAAATGCTTCTTCTTCTCTCCTCGGCATGCGGCCCGATCCGATTCGACAAGCATGATACCATACTTCACAACCCCTCCAACGAGCAACGCCAACACTAGCCCCGGGGATAAAAAACGACAACAACTCACAACCACACACCACGGAGAGGCGGAGAGGAGGAGCGAAGCGAGAAGCTCGCTCCCTTTCACCCGAACAAATCAACACAAATGAACATTTATGGAACAACAACAACAAATTGTCAGAGAAAACGACCCTTGCGTGGGTCTTTCTTTGCCTTCCCCTCTGCGACATGCTGACGTAACGGGAACTGCTGGCACACCACGCTACGCTTCCTTCTGCTCTACAACCCGGTGCCTGCTTTCGAAGCGAACGCTTTGCACCCCGCACGGCAGGCCTACACCGGGGGTAGTGTACTCAAGTTAACGCATGCCGCAGTAGTTCGACCATCGCCCTCGCATCCCGACAATGCCGGGACGGAGCGATAATATGCCGGGTTTTCGCCGGCCGGGGGGGCGAGGGACACTCTCGAAACACACTCGCACGAAACACCCGTCGTCAACAAACACCCACTATAACACGAAGGCACCCTCCCCTCCATCACGCAAAGAGAACGAACGGCACCGTCGACATGATTCGTGCGCGCGGGCTGCGCGAACAAGCCCATCAAAGCCCGAAACAAGGCAAATACCCAGGCGGTGGGGTAAAGGGAGGCAGAGCGGGAAAAACTCCGGCCCGTAGACATGCGTCACGAACATGTCATCAACCGCCTTGTAAACCAAAAACGAAAACACAACCCCGCAACATCAAATTGCCCCCCATCAGCAGTGCCCCACTTCATTCAGCGGTGTGGACCAACATGAGGGCGGCAAACGCCGAACCGTCAGGCAAGCCAAGCTACCACGCTGTCAGCGATCACACCATCCCGCGCGGCATACTCCCCAGAAAAGAGAGAACCGTCCGATACGTGCTACCGCTACGATGACCTAGGTGAACAAATTTGCGCTGTCATGGCATCGCTCTACCAGCGGCAGCCGGGTGGGGCTAATTCGGCGATATCCTCACAATGCGGCCTCAGCAGCAGCGGCAGCAGTCCCTCTTGTGGGCCGTAAGCGGCCAGGCACGCGGCGAGAACGCCTCTCGCAAATACACCACGTACTCTTTGTCTATGTTGCCGCCGCCCAAAACACCAGCAAACCCGACCAACACACATTGCCTCTTCATGGTGCGGAAGTTGCCCTCGATGCCGACAGCGCACACTGCGGGGCTGGGCGAGCAGATATCGCGGTGGGCCCGCAGCACCCCCCCACCGCCGACACGCACGGGTGCTTGCATCTCGAATCCACGCAGTGATCCACCTGGACCTGAAACACAACGAACGGCCGGCAGTTGCACGCGGGAGGTTTCAGGGTCTACACAAGACCTACGACTACTGTAACTTCAACAGAGGCCAAATCAACACTAGATCATACCGTAGGTTGCGTAAGATATCACACCCCCGGGACCGATTTTCAAAGCTCAACCACTCCACGACGAAGAGGATGTCGGAATCAAAGGATATCGTTGCGGAAAGCTCTCGACGACACGGTTCCAACGCCGCCATTTTCGGCACCGTCACTGCTTTTCCTGTCGAGGTATCGAGTTTCGAAAATCGATCAAGGGGGTGTGATATCTTGGGCAACCTATGGTAGATTCCCCCAGTGCTGAGTCAAATGATTTGGTTTTTTGCTGCTATGGGTCCCTGTCTGCAGCAAAACACCCTGCACGACGTGCCGGTTGGCTTCATGGCGCTGCGACCGAGGGGGTGCATTCTTGCCGCCATCACCGATCAGCCATCACGACGTTCGACACGCAGAACCACTGCTACTCGTCCCTTTGAGAGACGGGCACCTCCAACAGTAATTAGGTGGTCTCAACGAGCGTTTACGCGAGAGCTTCTTTGTGGCAAATGGTGCGACTTATTTCCTTGGATCTTCTAGTGACCCCTAATAGCGCTACGATTAGAGGCGAGAAGGCTTGCGGAGGGGGTGGTAGGGTGTACTCATAGTCGTGCATACCGTAGTCGTTAGACCATTGATCTCGCATCCCTACAAAGCCGGGACGGAGCACGCCGGGTTCTCACCGGACAGGCGGAGGGGGGTGGTAGGGGGGGGGCTAACGCAACAACACGAAGACTTTAGGAGCAAGACTTTGTAACGCGATGCCACTCCGCAGGTGCCAAACTGCCCTTCAAGACTATCTGGACCATACCGTAGAACTCTTCCCGCGGTTAACAGCAGACTCAGGCGGGGAGCGGGGGAGCGTGCTCACGTTTAAAATTCCTTAGCGGTTAGGCCATTGACTACCCGTTCTTGAGAGGAAAGGAGCTTTGTCCCACAGGACCGATCACCGATGACCGATCGTTCCTTCCTGCCTTGCCAAAGGTGGCGAAAAATGTTTCCCCTAGCCTATTGATCCTAGACCATTGAGAAGGACGAGGTTTTCCCCGCTCAAGACTCCTCCGCACGAGAAGGTCGAAGAGATGCTTTTTACCTGAATGGTGGAGTGTACAACCCCCATGGCCTCGCAAATCCCATGTGCTGAGACGAGAGCCTTCTCAGGGTCGGTCGCCTTGATGTGGGCGGACACGACGGTTCTTCCGAGGGTCAGTGACCACACGTGCAGGCAGTGGAGGTCGGTAACTCCTGTCCCGAACAAACACAGAAGCAGCAGGGACGAGCAACGAGTATGAGAGACAACTGTTAGCGATTGGCAAGCAAAAACAACAACAACAACAACAACAACAACAACAACAACAACACTTACCTAATCCTACTACTATCTTCACTACGACAACAACAGCAACAGCAAAACGAGGGACAAGGGACGAAACAGTGATCACATCAAGAAGCCGCCAAGCCACGGCGGCGTCGATGAGACACGCGGGAAACAGCAAACCATCGTCAACAATATAAGAGATGCGAGTACACCGAGCGTAATCCTGGCATTTCCACGATCGAAGCCCCCGAAACAGACGATCACCCAGGCCGATCGACGGCATAGAATCAATCGCTCCACATGGATCAGAAGTTAGCCCGCGATTTCCATGACGTCATCGAACAACCGAGGGGGGCATGCACGCACCTTCGATGGACGAGAGGCGGCGACGAAGCTGGTCGTAGTCGATGCTGTCGGGGACTCCCTCGAGGAGGACATTGAAGGCCCGCTTCAGCAGCCATCGGGTGGAGTTCAGCACCTGATAGGGTGCGCAGGAGGAGAATGGGTGCGCAAAACCAATCAAAACAACCGAAAATACAACCGAAAATACAACAAAAATGGAGGGGGGAAACCGCCGAGATATCATCAACAGCAACAACAACAACAACAACAACAACAGCGGCTGCAGTAGCTGTAGCAGCAGCAGCAGAATCAACAACAACTACTACCGCTACGCTGAACAACAACTACTACCGCTACGCTGAACAACAACAACACCACCACCACCACCACCACGGGAAGAACACCAACAGCAGCAGCATCAACAACAACGCAGCAGTACCAGCAGCCAAAATTACTACATGCATACAAGGCTTGACAACATCAGCAGCAGCAGCACAACAACAACAACAAAGATCCTACAATGGCTTCATCTTTAGGACACCCACCAGGCCGACGAAAAAGAGGGTGGCGATCGGGTCGGCCCACTTCCAGCGAAGGTCGTACCAGATGAGCAGCCCAGCCAACAGCACACCAGCGCTCTGAACCTGCCCACCCGGAAGAACCGACCGCAAAAGAGAGGACGTCCGTAGGGTGAGCTCGTTATATATACCGAGAGCAGAACATCCGTAATGTGAGCTCGTCACATATACCGAGAGGAGACTTCTAAAGGGTGAGCTTGTCAAGTCAAGGGGGTGGTGGCTTCATCAACAAGGTCAGATTGCCCGAGCACGCTACTGACACCAACAATCGTTGAGTGCATATATACTTCTATCTCGTTAATCAAAGGCTGTCGTCGCAAACCCTCGCATGCACTTGCCAGATCGCTTCAACAGCAGTCATCGAGTGCACACCCCGTGAAATGAAGATGGTCACGAAAAACCTTTTCTTGCTATGTCGCTCCAGGGGTGTGGATTTGGGACGTGCAAACCCACGCCGATTCTTCCGGCTGCTGCCGAGGGAGTAGAGACGACTCTCTCTCATGTACACGCGTCTGGTCCCCCAGCTCACATAGCCCCTCCCCCGAGGAATCTACAACAGACCGACACTGGCCATCGCAGACAACGTGATACCGCGCTCGTCGCCGATACTCCACTCCTTTGATTTTCGGGGAATCGAAGCCAGAGTTTTTCCTTAATGTTGGGGAGTTGTTCCTCTGGTGCTACAACAATATGGCGGCACAATTAAAGCGTCTGTTCACACGGGACACCACAGCAAAAACTCATAGACGTTCATTCGACTCTGCCTTCGAGGGGGGAAGGGAAATCTCTGTCTGTCTGTCTGTCCCTCTCTCTCTGTCTCCCTCTCTCCTCTTTCTCCCTCTCTGCCTTCCTCTTTCTCTCTCTCTCTCTCTATCTCTCTCTCTCTCCCTCGCTGCCTTCCTCTTTGTCTCCGTGTCGTCCCCGAGGCTGACCATCACAACAACTCACCAAGTCCGTAACCGCGTGCAACACGGCCGCCTCCATGTTGATGTTCTTCTCCTTCTTCAGCTTCACCACTTCCTCCCCCACCCCCGCCCTAACCTCCGGGAAGCGGTCCACTCCAGTCCCCAACCCGCCGAGTGCCGCCGTGCCCCCCCCGTCCCCCACTGCTAGACTCCCGTACACGTCCTGGCCCCCCGCCATGCTGGAAGCGCCGCTGCTGCTGCTGCTAATGTCTAACGGCAGGCCCGCGTCTCCCGAGCCGTTGTTGGTGGTACTGCTGTTGCTGTTGACGCAGTGGTTGTTGACGAGAGAGGCCCGCTCGCCGACGCCTGCTGTTTGGGCGTGGGCAGGCGCACGCACAGCCGTCGATCGCAACGTTTCTTTCGGCACGTGGTTGCTGTTTCCGGTTCTCTCAATGTTGCGGGTCTTTCCTGGGGATCGTGTTGCTCACGGCGACGTGGTCCATCCCCACACGACCGACCACGCACGCCCATCCGGTCCAAACACATTCCCCGACGCATCAGGAGCCGATCGACAAGACAAAAAAAAAAAAAAAAAGCGTCACCTCTAAGTGTCGCCGGGACCACCAGCCCTTCTTCCTCGTCGTGGTCGTCGTGAGCGTGGGCGTGCCCGTGCCCGTGTCCGTGGCTATGGTCGTGACCCCCGTGCTCGTGCCCGAAAATCCTGGCATTGGGAGTAGAGAGATTGTGTGTGGCATCCTTGTTTGTGCTGGTGGTGATGGTGGTGATGGTGGTGATGGTGATGGTTTTGGTGCTGTCTGGTGGCGGTGCTGCTGCTGTAATTGACGCTATTGCCATCGCACTCTCTACACTAGAAAGCACTCTCCCGGAGAGCGGCACTTACGATAGAAGTGCAACGTTGACGAGGAGCCCCAAGGCAGCGATGAAGGTCATCATCCTCCCGTCGATTTCCTCCCCTTGCCCTTTCGAGAAGTCTGTAACAGCAAAAGCAGCAGCCGCAGCAGCAGCAGTCAGTTGACGCAAGAGCAAACAGCATTGACAACAAGGGCATGCACAATGAAGTTAGCGGAAACGGAGATAATTCAGAAGCACCGAAGAAACCACGGGATGGAGTAACTGGTACAAATGCTGTGAGCGCTGACTTGAAGTGAAGACTAAAACAAGAACAGAAGAAACAGAGAAGATGCGCAGGACATCTCTCGTGATGTGGCTTCCCTGGCATTTTGCCGGGATACGTGTCATTATGTGTTATACCGGTAGACTGAAACTGCGGGCGGCCAAAACCATACGGATGACCCAAACAAGTAGTTCCTCAGACCCATAGAGCACGCAACAACAACGGTCACACCGACGGTATGACGTATTCCACCCCGTCAAAAAAAAAAAAACTAAGGCCAAACCGATACTTGACGACAAGGCTATCATGAAAAACACAAACACCACGGTCACACCGGAACTAGACGGCATGACTCGTGAATGCTCATCCCGTCACAACAAAAAGCGGTAAAACGCATACTGCACGGTACGGCTATCGAAATAATGCTCATGGCGTGCTCCCGGCATGCACAAAAGCGCCCAAGAACTTGGTAGGAATTGGTAATCAAGCTCGTCATGCTCAACACCATCTCAAACATGGAAATTGAGCACCCTTTGTGAGCCCGGGTAAGCACCCCTAGAAAAAGAGCGGCCATTTGTGGCACAAAAAAACAAAAATGCGGCACACAAGACGAAGCAGACCTTGGACAAAACTAGAGGTTCTTCTGCATACCTGCCGGAGCTAGTATCAATTTGTAGTACAACTATAATTGTATCGCCATCGTTTCAAGGTCTATTCTCGCTACTATTTACGCGGACGACAAGGTATATCATATTCTCGCCTACTATGCGGGCGAGGGCAGAGTAGAGGAGGAGCAGGCTCAGAACTACGATGGTCACGGTGGAGAAGAGCGCGCTCAGGACCTCCGCTCGAACCGGTCCGTACGTGAGCTTGTCGCACGCCGGCCTAGACGCGATCTCATTGGCCACCATGGCTAGGACGAACCCCTGCCAAAAAAAAAAAAAAGAGTGGAAACACATGAGAAGAACCGCAATCAAGGCTTGTGAACAAAAACCCTCGTTGCCTCCTTCCTTGATTATTGTTCTAACTACAGCACATCAGCTGTCTTTACATTAAAACCGTTCCGAGTTCCGCTTAGTCCCCTTCTAATATCCGTACTGCCCAATTGATGCGGTCGCCTGCCGTGGTCACAGGTCAACTACCCAAAAAGGGCGCACACCAATCTAGAAATCAACGAACGGAAAAATAAATGATTGAACTCGCTTTTTCCAAGAAACACTCACGCTAACGTGGGCGAGTAGATGTGTCGCGTCGACAACCATGGCCAGAGACTCCACAGGGTAAAAACAAAATTGAAGGCATGACCATTTTCCAAGAAACTCTCCTGCCCCGGCAGAAATGTTGCGAGCGCTGTAAAAAAAAAACATGTCAAAAAAAAAAAATCTCGCGCTAACGTCGGCGAGCAGATGTGCCGCGTCGGAGACGATAGCCAGTTACCCAGGGTAGAGTCTCTCCTTGAGTGCAAGCAATATTCATATTTCTTATTATTTTTTCTTTTATTATTACACAACGAACCCATCTCTATCCAAAAAAAAAAGCCCCGCATAAGTTAGCAAGAAACACTCACGCTAACGTCGGCAAGTAGATGTGCCGCGTCGGAGATGATAGCCAGCGAACCAGACCACACCCCTCCGATGACCTCCACCACGAAGAACACCAGGACAAACGCCGTTGCCTGCTTCAGCTTCCTGGGGAGAAAGCGCGCGTAGAACAATCATTGAGGCTTTAGACAAGGGCAACCTTTCCTTCGGGTGCGTAGTTACGCTGTTACCGTGAAGAGCGCCCGCGTCAGTTGTGGACTGGCACGGATATTACCAAGGTACTGGGCGGAGAGCGGAACGGTTGGTAATGTTTAGACAACAACAACAACAACCACAACGAAGTCTTCGTATGTGATAGGTTGCAGTTAAAGGTGCTGGAGAGAGAAGACATCTTGCAATCAATGCTGCAGTAGACAAAGACGACGACCGCAAAACCTCCACACCCACGGAATAGAGAAGAAGAAAAAAAAAAAAACACACACACACACATTCACATGCTACCCCCTCACGGGGTCCCAGTTCATGGCAAATAGAAGTGTTTTGTGTTTTCAACCGCACTAAGACAGACGTCTTTTCATTGGTCAGCCGGCTAGCGCGGTCGATGCTAATAATAATAAAAAAACACATACACACGCACAAACATGCGTGACTACTTGCTTGCGGCTCTCTGGGCCTGTGCGCAAATCGTTCGGGACTGTACGAAAAATCTGCGCAGAGCCAAGCGAGCCGCGGAGCGCTGGTGTCTGTTGACTTCGTAGTGATTTCGTGCCCTTCGTTCACTCTCGAAACTCAGGCAAAGTGTAGAGCCAAGGACGGGAGGGAGGCGCAACAACTCTTCGCGACGAATACACGAAAAAATAGTGTATTTCTGCTTCAACAGCAGTACTATGAGCGGCGTCGCTGGGGCAATCTTAACCGTCGCTGCCTGCTAAAATAGCAGTGTAGGTCGGATAGTGCGGAAGCAGAATTTCACACTTTTTTTTTTTTTTTTTGTTCACTTCAAATCAGCGCTCACAGCACTAGTGCCGTTTATTCCAACCCGTGGTCACACAGAAGAGCCTCTCTCTACCCTCCTCTCCTGCGGTACTTCGCCTTCAATTTTTAATGCGAGAAGAGTTCAGCACTCTCTTCCCTCTGTGTACACATTATTGAGCAAGCAAACACTTTATTTCGAGTACCGAATTTTGCGGTATTTTGAACAGCAGCTATTCGGCGAAACCCCAGGTTTCCCGCCGCCGTGCCCATGCTGTCCGCTCATGCTCCTACTTCCTTTCCGAGAGGCGCATCGCTTGAGGTATTGCCCGCCTCCGTTAACACCGGGGACGGTGAGTTATCATCCCCTGAATCCTAAGGACGACACATTTTTCAAAAGGGAAAACCGCGTGTGACCTTAACCTTCCCCACTGTAGTACCGCAAGCCCAAACGGAGACACTTTTGGGACACAGCGCTCAAAGGCTTATTTACCGCACCGCAGCCACCGTAAGCTCCGCTGTTTGAAACGCACGTGAGAACCCTTGGTCTGCCATGCTTGGCTGAGGTCGTATGCTGTGTGATATGCTGTGGGATGCCTCTCCTCGGCCTCGGACTTGCTGCAACACCATCTCCCAAGCCGCGTGCCCCTAGGTCGTAAAACTGCTGTGTATCGCCTGGTACTGGATAAAATTGCTGACTTGGCTTCAGCATGAAAAGTGCCCGCGAAACACGTGGGAACATTCTTCATACTGAAGCCAATCCCCCCGTTGTCTGGCAAGGGGCTCAGATTATTTGGAGGGACTGTAGCCCCGCCACCAATTGGCTGCAAAACATTGTTATGGTGCGACATTGTATACTCGGAAATAGGCAAAAAAGTGGGTATACCAACCCTTTCTCAGACAAAGTGGGTACTCGAAACAACGTTGCCTCGCGGAGACCGCTCGTGACAGGGCACAACCCTTCAAAACATCACTCCGATTCATGGAAAACATGGGCAGGGCCCATGCACAGCATCAACATCAACTTTTTTTTTCTTCCGGGCACATCTTCACCCTGCACCCTGCACACAGCCGCGGCGCACAAGGCCTCATTACCCGGTTTTGTGCGAAATTCCGTTTTTTTCATGTACAGTACCGCCTACCGTTTAAGAGAGGGGGGGGGGGTGTACTCATAGTCGTGCATGCCGTAGTCGTTAGACCATTGACCTCGCATCCCTACAAAGCCGGGCCGGAGTACACCGGGTTCTCACCGGACCAGGCTCCCACATCACAAAGCGCGAAGCGCCGTGAGGTATTCGGCGAGTCGCATGAAGGGTGCGCTGCACCCCGCTAAGGGTGTTCGGCTTCTTGTGCTTACTTCCTTGCGTACGGATGACAGCTGCGTATGACTTAATTTATTTTCTGGTGCTTTCACTTCCAGAGACACTATCAAGCACTGTGTAATTGCCTCGAGGATGCTTGACCAATTTAACACAACGTGGTGCGATCATCCCCCTCGCGCGGAGTGAGGGTTCTCGACCCCGCACGACATGATCTACTCGACAACCATTATGGTTACCGCAAAAAAAAAAAAACAGAGGAAAAAAAAAAACGGTAACCTGGTTGTCGAGTTCACGAAGTGAATTGGCTTGTTTTACAACGTCGTTGTCACGCGACGAAAAAATCCAATCACGATGGCAAACACCGAGGGGGGGGAAGAGAGGGGGGGCGTGACAAACCCCTATTTTTCTCTTAGATTGGGCTTTATCTAATACCGTGTTGGCAGCGGTTTAGGAGAATATTCTCTCGAACCGTGAACATGTTTCTAAGAGAAATACCTGGTAGGTAGTTGCATTTTGAGGCCATGGGAGATGGACGCTCCCATCCCAACCAGCGTAAAAGAGTTGGTTTGGACGCCGTATCGCTCATGTAACATCACGTCGTCACCTTGTGCTAGCTCCACACATGCTCACTCTGTCTCTTGGCGAGCAATGTACCCACCTCGAGTACCGGGTACACTCACTCCTCCTGATGATACCTGTGTTGTCAATTAATCATGGCGCCGTGTGATACAAGTTTCTCTGTACGTATGTACTTAATGGGTGATTTCTTAAGTTTCGTGTACCTGGTGTCTAGAAGCTGCGTTGTATGTGACGGCTACGTGGCTTTTTTTCGGAAGTTTGTTGAAATCTCAGAAATAAGACAAATTCTTTCTGATATCGATTTTGGTCGTGACAAGTGACAAGCCAGTTTGACTCTCTTAAATCGGTACTTTCTCTTAAATATTTTCTCTTAAACCGTAGCCGCTACTGCTGTACTCGCCTTGGTCTGCTTCGTGACCCACCATTGTCCGATTTTTCATTCGAAAATCGACATCCACGTCACCGCACGGGCGAGCGCGGGGGAGCTTTTCGAATGAAAAATCAGACAAGAGTGGGTTTTCGGACAAAAGTGGGTCAGAGACGTACACAGCACTGTAAGCCAAGGGCGGCCAAATACACACGTCGTGGGAGGGGTCCGGGCCAATTGCTAGAGCCCGTTGGCCTCTGCTAGTAGCGAAAGCGAAGAAAGCAAGTGCGCACCCATGCACAGCAGCAGCAGCAGCGGCAGCGACAGCAAGCAGCAGCAGCGCTGCTGCCGCTGATGATGATGATGAGAGCTAAACAGCGCTCCCATTCATCCCCTGACTGAATGGTGGTATCGGGTGAGGTGTGAGCGTGCGCACTGGTGACCTACTACTACGTGGTGGCGTAGGCTCCACCATATCTATCTACGCTTGCTTTGATGTCTCTCTCCGATCCTTTCTTTCGCGCTTCGCGCGAAATAATTTTTTTTCTTTCGTTGGACCCCAATGTATGGGAGGGGAGCCGGAAAATGGTGGGTACACGAAATATAAAAAATGATTGGTGCAGTAGTAGTTGCATCCGGTGAGCATACCCACCGGAATTTCGGACAAAATCGGGCAACCTGTTGAGGCCTTGTGCGCCGCGGCGAACACGTGCCCGAAAGCAAAAAATATGATATATGTTCATGGTCTGCATGGGACCTGCCGCCCATGTTTTCCATGCATCGGTCTCCGCGAAGCAAATTTTTGAGTACACCCTCTTTTTGTCTGCGACCCCTATAGTGTCACGACAAAATATGGCCGCTATTCAGGAAAGGTCGCTAAATAAACCAAACTAACAATGTTTTATACTACTACCAGGGTGCGGCGGTGCCACGTGATTTGCTAAACAGGGCATGTCGCTAATTAGGGGGTCCCTAAACCGAGACCCCCACTGCTGTATGTACCCACTTTTTTTGTCCATTTCCATTTTTTGTTCTTTTGCGGAGGCGGAGGGACTACTACAGCAGCATACACATATAGGAGGGTTGACCGAGGTTTGATGGTTTCATGTACTTGATCTTGACAACCCTCGAGCGAAAGCAGCCCAGTAAAAGAGTGTCGGTCCATCTTTCCCCGCTCTACATATCGCATTTCCTCGTGGTCGGCCAGGTAATTTCCGCGTGGGTGGTCGGGCTTGCACCGGAAATTTGGATCTTTAACTACTATAACGTGGGTGTGCAAGGTAATCTGGTGGCTGCTTGCTTGTTTGTATGAACAGCGGCGGTGCTACATATACATGTACCGCCTCCGCTGCCATCTACCCGGCCTTGGCGTGTCCCTTGCGGACAACGTCCGTCCCCGATTGTATGATTTTACCTGACATGTTCCTGAATACAAAAACCCTGCACTGAGCACAAAGAGCGTCTTTCGTCGCGGCTGAACCACAAAACCACAAACGAGGCGGCGGCGGATCTCCGCAACAGCAACAACGCCCGCGCAAACCACGTGCGTTCCCCACGTAAAAAATGCCGCCGTACTATGTAACACACACACGCACCCTCACCAAAATGCTCCATGCGCCTCATGATGATACCTACACAAGCCTAACAACTACCGCCATCTACTCTACTTGTAGCTGTACGTTTTACTGCACAACGGAGAAACAAAAAACTTGAACCAAAGCCAAACAAACGCATGCACTCTATAGACTATAACGGATAGACAACTTGTTGACAAGCGGACTACTTCTTTGTTTTCTCGCCTCTGATTGGCCGCCGACTCCGCCGAATTGGTGGTCTTCTGGCCCGCCCCCGCTGCCGCACCGCCGTTTCCATCATGATGGCGGCGGCCGTCATCATGATGATCGTATGCATAGCGGTCGTTGTGATCCTCCGACTCCTCCATCGCGATCGCATGGACGGCGCCCTTCTCCGCAGCGTGTTGGCCGTGGTCGTGGCAGTGTAAACCACTGGCGTGGGAGTGGTCGTGGGCGTGGCTACCCATCAGGGAGAGCAGATGGCCGCCGCCGCGCCTCTTCGTTCCTTTGGGGGGGGGGGGGGGGGTTCGAGATTCCGTCAAGCATCGTCAGCGATCTCTTTGCACGAAAGATCGGGCGTGGCAGGGCCGGTCGGCACGCAGAGAGGGACAGAGAGGCCTGCCCAGAGAGAGAAAGATCAAAGCGCAGCTTCGCCCTGCAGGCTGGAAGGATACCGAGGCGTGGAAACACGAACATTTCAACCCACCAACCATGGGCGAGATAGCGTGTGCTCAAAGGCACAGCATCGCGAAAAGATATTAAAACGGGGGCAGCACATGAGCGGTCAGCCTGCAGCGGTGCTGCGCTTCTGTGCTCACAAACCGCCAAAGGTCGCAAGATATCCGCAAAGATCAACACACCCCGCTGTTTCATGGCCGTGTTTTTTGTGTATCCAGATTGTGGTCGATGGCTGCTGTATACCAACCACCGGATGTGCGCTCGCCCAAAGCTGTGCGATTTTTTCGTCATCTCAGAGAGTCGCACCAGCAGCAGCAGCGGCCGCGGCAGCCAGCACGTGCTAACGGTTCTAGCGGCACTCACGTGGGGGGGGAGATGCCGCGTGGTAGAGCACGGCGTGCTGTAGCGGAGCCTGTGTGTGATTCTCGGCGGCTAGGGACCACACCTGACCTTAGAAGGACCAACGCTAATAATAACAGGCGTGCAGGTCTGCTTTGTTTGTTGCGGCAAGCGGCAAATTGAATTTTCAGAGAGAGCCGGTGTTGCCGACATGGGGACCTCCAGTGTTCTCATCCACGCCCCCCCTCCAAAGAAGCTTGCTTTGTTGTTGTGTTTCGTTGCTTGCTTGTGCTTCGCTTGCTGCTTGGTGAAGTGCTTCAGGCACACAGCAGCTGCGAGAGGAGAGAGAGGGCTTTGCACTCCGTGAGGTGCGTCGGTTGGTCTTATCGGCACGGCCGCGTCAATGAACACACTCGTATCTCTATGCGGATGCTTCACATTGCTCTACGCAGGTGCAAAGCACACAGCAGCAGACTCATCATACGGCGGCTGCCGCGCAACAAACAAACAACGTCTCACCTCACCAGCAGCGTAGATGTCAGAGCCGTTGCAGTACAGCAGCACTACTGCTTTACACCAGTGCTAAAATCTGGGCCCATCAACGGTCTCCCTTTGCATTGAGAATATGATGTCCTGTGTCCCACAGCAGTATATTCCGTTGCTGACAGCAGCATGCGGTACACAGCCGCAGCACCAGCAGTCAGTCGTCTTTTGGATTGGGTGCTTTCCCGCAGCAGTGTAGCGCGCTCTGGAATATCATCATCTTCACAGCACGTGGTGGTAGGTACTGAGTGTTTGTCTGATGGTCAGGTTCTAGCTTTGCGATGTCCTGTGTCGGGGGGGGTGCCACACGTCGTCGTTTTCTGAAGGGATTGTGTATGACGCAAGATACCACCTGTATGTGACGACCGTTGTGACTGGCCGCTCGCCCGGAGGATCGTGCAACCTGCTGCCGCTCTGGTCGCAGGTTTCGCCTCTTGTTTCAGACATGTCCACCCCAAACATCGTATGCATATGTTTAATTGTGGAAGCCCTGCCCTCTTCGTGATTGAGAGGTCGGTGTAGACACCTGGGAGTCGTCCCCTGGGGGGTGGTGGTATCCTACGTGTTGTGATGTAGGGCACAAGGCATCCGCTCTCTCTTCGTGTCGCCAAGGCGCACGGGCTCGCAGGCAGTTAGTCGATCGTGGATATCCTGGCCGATGATGCGCGCAAAGCTGGAACTGCGACAACCACGCCTTAGCACCAAGCCATAAAGTACGCAGCAGTACCACACCCATCTTCTGGCCCGCAGAATTTCAATGATACAGCGTCACACGCGACATGAGAGCGATTTTTTGTGACCTTCTTAAATACATGCTCCACAGGAAATACTGGGTCGGGCGCAAAAACGTTTGGGAAGATCGGATAGTTTCGAAGCCCGACCAGCGGCGCAGGACGGCCTTCTGGGAGGAGAGACTAACAGCGCAGCTTCCAACAGCCAGGGGCCATGTCGCTTCTAGCCGGCCTTAAGTTCGTCAAGAAGCCACCTCCTGGCGCCGAGAATGGGGGGGAGGGAGGGGGTAATAGTCCCGAGACGGTGGAAGGGGAGAAGCAGAAGGGCGAGAAGGAGCGGCGCCACAAGGAGAAGAAGAAGGACAAACGGAAGGACAAAAAGAAGAAGGTGCGGAGATAGATACTTGTATGGACAACACCGCTACAAATGCTAACTAACACATCAGACTCTTAGGATTGGTTACGTATTGTGTGTGTTGGTGTGAGAGCACCGCAATAGCGTGAAACACCAGATGAGAACATTCCGGTAAAGTCGAGAACAGCTCAACACCGGGGTACAAAGAAGTCAAGTTACAGTGGACAACATTGAGAACGTCACTAAGAGCGCTAGGTACGGGATTTAGGAAGCATGCAGTGGGGCAAAAAGGTTCACTTTGGATGCGAGTAGGTGTGGGGGTGAGACAAGCCCTCGGTCCCGCCCGACTCTGAAGCTGTAGCCGGCGTGGGTGTCTCATGAAGCATCACCGCATGCTGCGCTTGACCACGAGAATATATCACTCCCGCGTCGTGGCTCCAGCTGCGCTGACTGCTTCGTACTCTATCGATATTCGATTGGATTCACTCCTGATGCTGTTGGGGCATACGTCATGTTTGACAGACAGCAGAATTGTCTCTGATTGCTTCCCGCTCCCTCTCCCTCTCTATCTCATCCCTCCCCCAAACACCAACCCAAAATAAAAGTCATCCGGCCACGACGATGCGGAAGAACCCTCCTCCAAAAGGAGGAAACATCAGGTATCGGCAGGGGGCGACGGCGGCATGGATTGGATAGACGCAGCGCTAGCGGTCGGTGATGGCAAGGGAGGAAGGTCGGGGGAAGGCGAAGAGCCCACGGCTGAGGAAATTGCGGCGAAAAATCGCGAGGAGGTAAAGCTCATACTTTTTTTTTTCCGTTCAGTATTGTAGGCAAGCACCTTAGGAGGGGTGGAGGGAGAGGGACCCTTCTGTGTGACCACAGGTTGGAGCTACCTCCTACCCGGCCGAGAAATGCTGTAGGCGCTGATCTAGAGTGATGACCAAAAAAAAATGTTGATGATGATGAAATCCTGAGTTCCCTTCTCAGATTGGCAGTCGTTTCTTCTTCGTCTCTACGGGTTTTTCGTTATCCAACAGAAACGCCAATCTGTGCCGTAGAAATTAGTTCGATCCGACATGGACATGTGGACGGGAAAAGTGTGTTGTTGATACGACACGACTTCACCATCGAAACGATATCAAAAGACGTCGTCTGTCTGTGGAGATTTTTTGTTGTCTTAACCCTTTCATGGTGAACCTTTAGTTCTCCTGCACCGGTCGCGAGGCCTTTTGGTGGAACCAGCCGGGGCTACGCAGAATGTACTCCTCCCGCAGTCCATGCCTTTTTTGACCTCTTCTCTCCCAGAGAAACTCAGCGATCCTTTCGCCTCGCCACTATAATAGTAGTCAGCGGGGTCCAGTAAGTAGCTTCACCAGATAATCCGAGGCAGGGAGTGGGTCGTTCCGTAGACGAGCACGGAAGATTCTCGAAGGTGGCTGGTGCGGCGATCCGTTTCCGCTCCCTCGCCCGCCCGAATCCCTCCCGCGGCACTAGGCGAGGAGTTTCCCGGGGTTTCCACTTGAGTTGATGTTTGGACTGTGGTTCTTTCTGGACAATCCATGGATTGTAGATAGGCGCGTCCCGGCACTAGTAGCACACTAGACATTGCCGGTACCTGGGTAGCTGCCATCCATCCAGCAGGCAGAAAAGACGGGAGTGTCGAGTGCGCGTGTGGTTTGTAGTCAGGAGCTTCACCCACTTCTTCCCACCGTTTCCCCTGCTTCTGTCTCTCCACACACACCATGCTTTTCTCCGAACGGTCTTTGGAACGGGCGGCATGGGAACAGGAGATCGACCTGGAAGTGGTGAAGGGTCTCAGGGACCCCAAGACCAGACGCAAGTAAGATATGATGGAATCAAAACTCTGCTGTGTTTCGCACTAATTAAATGTTGGTTTGGCGAGGCCGCTTCGAGTGTCCCTCGTGGCGTGGTTCTTGTCGTCGTTGTCGACACGGCAGTACACAGTCATTTCCCGTTGCTGTAGCTCTTTCGGTTGCTATTGCTGCCATCACTGCCCGCCACCCCTTGTTTTTGTCATTTTTGGGGTGTCCACCCGCCTTCCTTGGTCTGCAGTACCGCGAGGATATTACTGTTGGGCGAATGAAATAGAGAGGGGTTTTTCGTAGCCCTAACCCCCAACCCAACCCCGTATACTTGTACCCCAAACCAAAATCATGCTTGATTGCCTAACGAAGGGTACTACTGCGTGTTGATCTTTGCCTCGAACAGGAAACCACTAGGGATGGCATGCTCTTGCAGCGCCTGTGTAGTTTGGGTGACGCAGGAACGTTTTTGAAGCGGGAAGGCCCGTCCATGTCTGCCAGACTGTGGTGGTCAAGGCCCCGAAGTAGATCGACCTAGTTATGATATTGCCTTTGGAAAACCGAACAAACGAATTCATAGCCAATCGAGACGCGGCACCCGAAAATAATTTCACCGGAACTCAGCCTTGCGCCCAGCTCAGGACCAGGGTTATCACGAATACCGTCGACGACTCCATGCGTGATGATCCGTTTGTCCCTGCTCGTCTGGTGTCCCCGTTCCCCCCAGATACGGCTTGTACGATCCCCTCAAGGGCGAACAAGAGGGCGTACCAGCCGGTGCCAGCGGCGGAACCGACGGGGGCACAGCGGGGGGGCTGAGGGGGGGGGTGGGGGGGGGTGGACTGCCCGCGACGTTCTCCCCTCCGAAGTTGACGGGCGTCGGCGACAAGGGTGCTGGGTAAGCGGATCTCTCTTTGGTCTGTACCAAGGGATTTCACCCAGCCTCGCTGTAGGTGAAGTAAGACATCACACCTCCTGGGAAAAAATGTGGAGCTCGATGGCCCCACACCAACAAAGGGCGGTGGCGCCGAACATGTTGTCGGCGGTGGAACCGGCTCGTCGAGAACTTCGAGAACGAATCAACTGATATTTTATCAATCATTTGGGGGGGGTGATATCTTACGTCACCTACCTACGGTGTAGCCGGCCACTCCTTCCTATACCAGGCCCGACTGCTGTGTTGGCGCTCCTTGAGCGTTCAGGAGAGTATCATGTCGTATCGGTGTTTTGCGGTGTCTGCTCGCGATCTTGCTTGGCATCTTCGATGTGCATTTCGCGCGCCAACTCAACAATCTCGTTTTTTCCCGGGAAAACGGTTATGCGAGAGACGTGGGCTATCGAGCTACTGCTGTACGTTGCAGCAAGAACGAGTTCAAGTCAACCCCTGCTTTGTTCTGTCTCTGTCTCTGTCTGTCTGTCTCTCTCTCTCTCTCTCTGCATCACTAACACCTTCGACGCCTCTCTGCTGCAAAAGTTGGCGAGCGAAGGCCTTGAAGCGGGCACGCGAGAAAGCCGAGAAGTCCGGCCAGTCTTTGGAGGAGATTGTGGGAGATAGGTAACAAACGATCGGTTCCCCTTTTCGTAAGAATATTTTTAGTTTACCTTGCGATCTCCTTTCGTGTAGAGTGCGGCGGGGTAATTGCGGGGGGGGGGGACTATTTAGTGATGTGATTGTTGGTCTTTTTTGGGGACCATGTGCTACTACGTTTGAGTGTACCGTTCCTACCAACGGTGCTCTTGTTTTATTTGTTCGCGTAAAGACCTGCCGTAGTCCATTCCGTTCTGTCCGAACCGGCAGGAGCCGAATTTCGTAGCCACTAGCGTAACAACACTAAAGAGTGTGGTACTGCGCGCGAGACCCCGCAAAATCGGCCTAAAGCGATGTTCATTTAATTGCTGGTTTGTCCCTCGAATCCTTGTCGGCAGGCCGCTCCTCTCCTCGCTTTCCGTGTTTTATTTCTTTAGCAGCATTTTCCTTGTTTTTTCTTCTTCTTCTTCCTGTTTTTCTGGTGTGATGGCTGCTGAAGCCCCCCCCCCCACCCCCAAGGCGGGGGCCGCCCCCCCCCCCCCTCCCCCCCACGTCTAACCTTGTTTCCGGAGCAAAATTTGGGGACCCGAGCTCTCACAGGGGACGTTTGCGGGGGGTCATCCTGCAGGTACTGGCGGGGTGGCGGGGGTCTGCCCCAAGTCAAGAGGGGCGGGGGGGCAAATATGCTCCCGGCGGGGGGGGGCGGGAAGGGAAAACTCAGAGATATCTTGGGCGTTTTTCTGAACGGGGAAGACGATGACCCCGCAGTGCCGGGGGT